TGCGTGCCAAATGAACTTTTCTCTCAAAGTTTACACTGCTGGCAAATGTAGATAAGGATTAAAATTTAAAAACTAACTAATACAACTAAAGTAAAATCTGTGGAAAATTAACAATAAAATACTTTTTTCGCAAAATTTATAAAGGACCCTTTTATTTCTAAAAAAAAACTGGGTAACAGTTATTCGTCGCCACGCTGTATATATATATATGTGTGTGTGTATATATATGTGTGTGTATATAATGTGTGTAAGCTTTCGAAGACTCCGAAACCGCTGAGGAGTATGCTTTTGATGTTATTAACAGAAATACTCCGGCGTAATCTGGAGATGGTTCCCGTAAAGTTTATCCCGTATTGGACTCAAAGTAAAAGAGTTGCCACCCACGTAAAAAAATAAATATGTAAAAGTTAAATGAAATACTACAAAATTCTTATCAAATGAAAGGTGATTGAAGAAGTCTTAATCCAAGGACATTTTTAATATGTCTTACACCTATAAAATAAAAGAGTTGCCAGCTGTTAAAAATATTTTATTTTTTTTATTTTTTTTTTATATCACTATTTCTGAAAATCACCGAAATCTGATTATTGATATATTTTTTAGTAAAAGGCCTCTTATATGAACAATCAGTTTTAAAGATTTCGGTGATTTTTAGAAATAGTGATAATTAACAAGTAAGAAAGTCCAAGTTCGGGCGGAGCCGAACATTAAATACCCTTCGCACATATTAATTATATGTTTTTCACCTTTCCGAAATCTACCGCTACATGGTAAGCCGGGGTGTGTCAATTTTGAGTAAATTAGCGTCCTTAAATTTCGAAATATTAATTTTAGTCCAAATTCAATAATTTTCAACGTTTTGCTTTTATGTGGCAAGCACAATAACCATACCGAGTTTGGTACAAATTGGTAAAACGGTTACCGAGATACATATATGTGATCATAAGTGGGCGGTGGCACGCCCATTTTCCAAAATTTTATCATAAAGGTATTTCTTCGTAATGAGTTGTTGCAAGTGTCAATTTTGAATAAATTAGCTTTAATATTTACTGATTTATCAAAGATTTCGTATTTCTCCAAATTACCGTTATATGGGATGTGGGCGTGGTTATTGTCCGATCTTAAACATTTTTGGCCATTTGGTATGCTGTACCAATGCCAACAACTGTGCCAAGTTTGGAAGAAATCGGTGCAGCGGTTGCCAAGATATACACATGTTACCATAAGTGGGCGTGGCTACGCCCATTTTTCAAAAATTTATAGTATTCTTATTTCTCCTCCTAAAGGTATTGTAAATATCAATTTTGAGTGAATAATCTTCTGTAGTTACTAAAATATCGCAGTTTTTGTATTTCTGAAAATTACCGCTATATGGGAGGTAGGCGTGGTTATTGTCCGATTTTGCCCATTTTCAATACCATCCATCCTACTCCCGAAAGAAGTGAACACACCAAGTTTCGTTAAGATAACTCAATTTTTACTCGAGTTATCGTGTGCACAGACGGAC